CGGACGGACGCACGGACGGCCGGACGATCATGCGATTCTACAAGCTGCACCTGACTAAGTCAGATGAGCTAATAACCCGTCTTCTCTACCAACAACCCCTCGTTCACAGGGCTGGCTGAAGTGTGATGACGTTGTGTGTGGCCACCGCACTCGCATCCCGACGGCACGGCTACGGAATGGTCACCCGGTGTGCGACGCATGCGAGCGTGGCAACCTCCATCCAGAGGTGAGAGATGCATGTATACATGTGCACACGTATCCAAGGGCCTCACAAGGGAAAGGCAGTGTTCATAATATATGGGTGTCCATTCCATATAGCTGGCTGCTAACACAGGATCGACTGATTACAAGTTGTGTTCTGTGGTATATTCGTAAGCCGATCGATTTATTTATCCAATTTCTGCCGGGCTTTGATAGCACCAACTCTTGTTCTCATCCATAATATAAAATTCTGAAATGATTTCAGTACACCGACACACAATTGTACAACCAGCTTCTGTACTACCAGTATATCTTTGACGTGGACAAGGCCCTGGAGGAGGTTGACCAGGAACTGAGAAGTAAGGCTGACAGTCAGTTGTTGCCCAGCTTCATAACAACCTCATCCAGACAATTCAGGGACAAAAATCTCTAGATTGTCCTTTATAGCGAGTTTTGTGATAGCCATTCATTTTTTGCCAGCTGATCACAACAATGCTGCATTTGTTGGTCACAACTCATCGCACTCAGCTTCACATTGTCACTGTGCAAATTATAACGGATGTATTTGTACTTGTAACAGATGCATGTATGTTGTGTTACAGTTGCGGTCAAGAAATACTTGCAGAACTTCAGCAGCGAGTATTCACAACTGAAAGCTGTCGTGGATGCCTACTTGTCACGAAACGCCTACGGACGTGTTGATCTCAACAAGCTATTCTCCTGGATGTGAACGACAACTAAAGTGAAGCAGTGATTGTGATGTATTATAGGTTACAATTGAGACATTGCGAGAAAAATGCTTACAAAACTAAATCTATGTTATCTTGTGATTTCGAGTGCAAATAGAAATGCCATCGATTTATAGTAATGTGCATGCTATAGTAATAACACAAGATCTTGATTGTAAACTAATATGCTGTGCTATTCAGTGGGATACTCTGGAAAGGGAATGCCATGATTTTCTTCTCAATATTTAACAACTATGAATAATATAAATGCATATATGCGTTGTCTAAATGCAGTTGTTGAAATCTTCGGGCTTTACGTCAAAAAGTCAATAACCAGATGTTTTAATTAGATGAGGCACTTATTGTGTTAAGGCTATTACAATGTTGATATGCATATGTAAACCTAAAAAGAACCTAAAATACACTATAATGTATATAGTAAGCAATATTGTTCGGTGTTTTCTGAAGTAGTACAATTGCTCACAGTAGATTCCAAGTAGATTAACGAACAATAAGTTGATAAGAAAATATTTATCAAATTAACCTGCATGTTTATTATTATATACATATTATATGCAATACCTAATCTCCTGTGAATTTCATTAAAACCACACGCCTGGCAAGTCTTGTCAGAACCTTGAATACCTAGAATGTAGCTTCCACCACTGTACCGTAATACAGCTACACTTAGATCACACCAACGTTGGAGAACTTCCACGTGCAATTATTGAATATCTTATCAGGAGTGAATGATAATAGATTATTATATAGAATAATTACCTATTATTATTCACTCCTGATCTTATCTTATCTGTCAGACTTTGCCTGTTACCTCAGGGTTTAGACAACGAGTGCCTATCACTGCCTATAAGCATCACGGGTTTGTGCACGCTCACCAGTAGTACTACTTCAAACACTTGATATTAACCTGCTGTGGCAGGCTAAGATACTGCTGACAACCTAAAGAATTCATCAATTGTGTGTACATATATATATATATATATATATACATAGTTGATGTTTCATCACAATCAATACGACAATATGATGTGTAATCTAACGGGAAAATTTCCCATAATGCTTAGTATCTCTGTGGCCGTCCACAGCTAATTAAAGAACTGTTTCCTCTGTTTACACTTGAGCAACACTAAACACTATCTTTGGCCTACTGACAGCATCAGGAGGTATTATAATTAAGATATTAGGAGCCAATAATGAACGGGAAATGTATATAAGAACAGAAGGCTGCACAAATGTATCGAAAACAGTACACCTGTTTACTTGCACATAATATTATTAGGATTGACCTAGCTGGTTTCACGCAACAAGAGGCAACTCTTCCGTGTTTGTCTTACTGCACTGAATGCATGCAAGCACACAGATACACGCAAACACGCACACACAAGCGCGCGCACTTTCGCACACATTACATGCTCACTTATAGTCTCTCTCTCTCTCTCACGCGTGCACACACACGTGCAAGCACACACGTACATATGCATGTACACACGCATGCATGCTCTCGGGTGTGCACGAGCGCGCGAGCATGCAAAGATGCATACATGCACGCACTGACTCAGATATGCATGGGTGCATGCAAGCACGCACATACGAATCACTCATTACCCACACTGAATCCCTCCCACATACATGCAGGCACCACCCACCACCCACTACCCATCCACACTCTAAGTACTCCCACACGCGCACGCACATACCCACATGCAGAACCAAGATCTAACGGAAATAACACGAGTGAATGACCATCACTAATAATTTGTGGGTGACATGCCTCACTAAATAGAACTGCACACAAATTGAACTAGTGTCACGAGGTGGGTGCAAAAAGCATACACGTGACACAGTTAACAAACTGTCAAACATAGTGGAACAATCAGTATTCTGAAGTAAAACCCCTGACGAGTTTTAACACCACTTAGGTCAACACTTAATGAGGCAGTAGTACATGAAGTAATAACAGCAGAACATAAGAAAGCGTCACTTAACATGCAGTCGTGGCTTGGTTGTAACCTTTGCGGTGAAAGACCTCCGCAAAGACCTTCCATATGAGACAACCTGAGATCGCAACATTGTCTATTCCCACTCTACTTCGATGCACGTCATCGTTAAGAAATGAACCCGACAAATCTAGAGATCATTTAGCTGTCATTGTTCTGCCGAGACTAAACAACCCGAACCCATTCCAACTTTAATAGGGTCTTTGATTCTATGCAAACGACCAGAGCAGGTCAGTCTGGAATGCAGGTCCCAATTTGTAGCAGGACCACTACATTAGAACTGCGTGCAAGAACGCCCAACTACATACACACATACATAATGCAAATGACATGTTGCTGAACTGCTACATCTTGTTTCCAGGCCAGCCTCGAACATATCCCAGCCCAGGAATAATCTACACTACGTCCACGAAGACCGGGACATGCTCTGGCTGTTGCCAAAAGCATCCGATTCATGGCTAAACCCTACCTTTTACAAGAAACTTTACAGCCTGCAAACGTGAAGTCAGCAACAGGCCATAGGCACACGCATGCACAGTGAAACTACATACTAGCAATCATATTTACATGCTCATGCCTTAGACACTCCTGGCGACACCCGGAGATAATTTCACTCTGCAAAATGAGTCCATGCCCAACGTTGTGGCGTTCAGACATGCTGTTAAGGTGGCACTGCCGTCACAAAGGCTTCAGTGAGAAGGACAGCTTTGGTCTTGCCTTGCTCTTGTTCAGTATCTTCTGCTGCTCCTCTCGGACGAGACGCTTGTGCTCCTGCTCTATTCTTGCACGCTCTTCAGCAAGCTTTCTCTGTTCTTCTACCATCAGCAACCGCTCCTCGGCCTGAGACAACCAATGATAAACGCATGAAAAGGCCGCACATTACCGACACTCGCCACACCTCCACCCTCCTTCCAACCTTCTCTCACTGTAACCAATGTCTCATCCGACCTTAGCTTACCCTGTAACATATCTCCATCTGAACCTTCCCTCACCACGTAACCCGTCTCTCTTTCCCAACCTTCCCTTACTCCATAACCTGTCTCCTTCCCAACCTTCCCTCACTCCGTAACCTGTCTCCTTCCCAACCTTCCCTCACCCTGATGGTAAAAGCAGGGTGAGAAGGGGATGGGGTTGGTGGTAAAAGCAGGGTGAGAAGGGGATGGGGTTGGTGGCAAAAGCGGGGTGAAGCATAGTGTAGCACATTTTTATGTTGTATTGTTATTTTGTTGTGTATATGTATAATGTCATTAAATTCAATTAATCTAGATGATTTGGTGCCTCTGCATTACTTAAAACGTTATAACAGTCACTTCAGCTGTCTGTTGCATAAGATGATGTAAATAAGCATTGCCACCAGTTGCAACTTTCAGCCAAGCCCCATTATATATGTCTATTAAGTTTCTCGCATCACTCTCCGTGAGAACAGGACTGGATGCATCAGCCTATCACAGAACCCACATTCACAAGCAGGAGGATGATATGGATGCATCCGGCCCAATGAGCTACAGTGAGAAATTCAAGCACTGTGACCCACTCACCGTTAGGTGTACCAACCCCAACTGTGCTAGCGACATAATATTTGAGAAGGTTTTACTGGTAAGGGTTATATAGTATGTCCAAAGCAAAATCCCATATTCCCAGGATCATTTCTAATCTGTCTAATCAGAACTGGCTACTCTTTTGACAATAAAGCATGCTAAAAGATAATAGTGTAAAATAGCATATCACTTCTAAAAACTCTTGAATGATAAACTCATTTAATGTAGTTAAGCATTACAAGTTTTTCTACTAGTACTTTATTAGTAATTAAAAATAGGAATTGTATTTGACAGACAGATGTAATGTGCAGTTTGGAGACATGTCCAAATCGCAAGTGCGACCTCAGCCCACGCGATACCACTGCATACATATGCAATAAGCTGGTACAGGAAATACGGAAGCATTTGTCCAAGTACTATCTCGTAAGTATGAAACACAACAGCTGTTCATAGCATATCAATTATTCTTGGTATTAGCATAGACTGATAATATCAAAATACTAGACTTAAATCTGTTACCGTTTATGCAATACCGCCATCTGGTGTTAGGTACATTCTTTTTGGGATGGATTTCTTATCTGATCTTAGGAATTCTAATTGTCAATAATGAAATGTGGTCTGAAATCAGTCATTATTTTTATTATGAATGCTTTGTTGACAATGAGTTTAAGACAAATTCAATTAAAGTTAAAGGAATAGTTTACTCTAGAATTTGAGAGGATATTATGATAGTAGATTTATAAATAATAGCACATATCTATAAATATCTATAATTCGCATTCATGTTTGTCATAAAACAACATTGAATTTCAAAATCTTCATTTTTGGGCGCTGACATGACACCCGCGACCGTGCTGCCACCCTGAAATTTCTAATGGTGATTGAACCATGAAATTTTTAATGTAACGTAATTTTAACATAAATCAACTGAAAATAACTCTAGAACCTAGAGTCAAGGATTCCGTTAAGCATCTTAGCTAGGAATTGAATTCAATTGAATAAAAAATGGTTCTCTACTACAGGAGGCACATTGTCTCCCATGATCTTCTATTACCAGAAGGGAGGGGCAGGAGCACAAGCCGTCTCGTTCCGACGAGGATCAGCAGAAGGATACTGGAACAATGAGCAAGGCAAAGATCCAAAGCTGGTCCTTCCTCACTGATAAGCTTTGTGACGGCAGTGCCACCTTAACAGTCATGTCTGAACGCCACATACGTTGGGCATTGGACTCATTTTGCAGAGTGAAATTATCGTCCGGGTGTCGCCAGGAAGTGTCTAATGGCATGAGCATTGTAAAAATATGATTTGCTAAGTGATGTAGTGTCACTGATGCATCGCGTGTGCCTGTTTGGCTGAACTTCACGTTTGCAGCTGTAAAAGTTTCTTGGTAAAAAGGTAAGGTTAGCCATGAGATGCTTTTGGCAGACAGCCAAGAGGAGTCCCGGTCTTCGTAGGACAGTAGTGTCAGATATTCTTGGCTGGGATATGTTCGAGGCTTGGCCTGGAAACAAGACTGTAGGCAGTTCAGCAACATGTCATTTGCATTATTGTATGTGTGTGATGTAAGTGGCGTTCTTAGCAACGCAGTTCTACATGTAGTGGTTCCTGCTTACAGAATTGGGAACCTGCATTCCAGACTGACCTGCTCTGGTCCGTTTGCATAGATCAAAGACCCTATTAAAGTTAGGAATGGGTTCGGTTATGTTTAGTCTCGGCAGAACAAGATGAGCAGCTTACAATGATCTCTATTGAGCTAGATTTGTCGGGTTCAGTTTCTTAACGATGAGCGTGCATCGAAATGTAGAGTGGGAATAGATCAGTAGTTGCGACTTCAAAAGGTTGTCTCAATATAATAAGGAAGGTCTTTGGCGGTAAGGGTCTTTCACCGGCAAAGGTTACAACCAAGCGACGACTGCATGTTAATTGACGGCTTTCTTATGTGTTGCCTGTTTATTACTGTCATGTACTACTGCTCATTAAGTGTTGACGCTAAGTGGTGTTAAAGCTCGTCAAGGGGTTTTACTTCAGATAGCTGGATTGTTCGCACTATGTTTGATCAGTTGTTAACTGTTTCACGGTGTTATCGCTTTTGCACGCCACCTCGCTGAAAAAACGTAGTTCAAACTTTGTGTGCAGTTTCTATTTAAGTGAGGCATGTCACCCAACCACACGAAATTATTAGTGATGTCATGTCACATCGTGTTAATTTCCGTTAGATTTGGTTCTGCATGTGGGTAATGTGCGTGCGCGTGTGGGAGTACTTAGAGTGTGGAGTGGGTAGTGGGCTTGGTGGGTGGTGGGCCCTCATGTTATGTGGGAGGGATTCATGTGGGTAATGAGTGATTCGTATGTGCGTGCTTGCATGCATCCCATGCATATCTGAGTCGGTGCGGGTGCATTGTATGCCATCTTGTGCATGCTCGCGCGCTCGTTGCACGACGAAGAGCATGCATGCGTGGTAGCGATGCAATGTACGTGTGTGGCTCTGCACACGTGTGTGTGCAGCGAGCGGGAGAAAGAAGAGAGACTAAAAAGGAGCATGAAAGGTGCGAAAGTGCGCGGCGCTTGGCGTGTGCGGTTTGCGTGTATCTGTGTGCTGCAATCATATGCATGCATCAGTGGCAGTAACGACAAACACGGAAGAGTGCCTCTTGTTTGCGTGGAACAGCTACGTCAATCCTCAAAGCTATGTGCAAGTAAACCAGGTGTACTGTTGTTCGATACATACTTTGTGCAGGGCCTTCTGTTCTTATATACATTCCCGTTTCATTATTGGCTCCCTGTAATATCTTTTAGTAATACCGTTAATACTAATACCCCTGATGCTGTCAGTAGGCTAAAAGAATAGTGTTTTACTGTGCGGTCATGTAAACAGAGGAAAACAGTTCTTTAATAATTAGCTGAAGACGGCCACAGAGATACTAAACATTAATGGAAATTTTCACCCGTTAGATTACACATCATATCTTGTCGTATTGACTTGTGAGTGAACATCAAAACTATGTATATATATATATATATATATTAATATATATATATATCTGTACACACAATTGATGAATTCTTTTAGGTTGTCAAGCAAGTATCTTAGCCTGCCACAGCATGTTATATCAAATGTGTTGAAGTAGTACTGACTCGGTGAGCGTGGCACAAACCGTGATGCTTATAGCAGTTGATAGGCACTCGTTGTCTAACATCCTGAGGTAACAGGCAAAAGTCTGACAGATAAATAAATTCAGGAGTGAATAATAAATAGGTAATTATTCTATTAGTAACTAATCATGTTATCATCCTCCTGATAAGAATATTCAATAATTGCACGTGGAAGTTCTCAACGTTGTGTGGATGCTAAGTGGAGCTGTATACCGGTACAGTGGTGGAAGCTACATTCATAGTGCCATTCCAAGTGTCTGACAAGACTGGCCAGCGTGTGGTTTTAATGAATATCACAGCAGAATTAGGTAATTGCATATAACTATGTCATAAATAATAACAATGCAGTTTAATTTGATAAATATATTTCATATCAACCTTATTTGCTTCGTTAATACTACTTGGAATCTACTGTGAGCAATTGTACCTACTTCAGAAAACACCCGAACAATATTGCTTACTATATACATATAGTGTAATTTAGTTCTATTTAAGGTTACATATGGCATATAACATTGTAATAGCCTTAACACAATAAGTGCCTCAATCTAATTAAACATCTGGCTTATTGACTTTTTGCGTAAGGCCCGAAGATTTCAACAACTGCATTTAGACAACGCATGATATGCATTTATTATATTCATAGTTTTAAAAATTGAGAAGAATCATGCATTCCTTCCAAGAGTACGCCACTGAATAGCAACCGCGATATTTAGTTTCAATCAAAGATCTTGTGTTATACTATACGCATGCACATTAGTATAGAATCGATGGCATTTCCTATTTGCACTCAGAAATGCACACAAGATAACATAGTTTAGTTTTGCTAAGCATTTTCTCCGCAATGTCTGCAATTGTAACCTATAAACATCACTAATCACAGTGCTCACCTTTAGTTTGTCGTTTCACGATCAGGAGAATACGCTTTTGAGTATCAACAGCGTCGTAGGCGTTTCGTGACAAGTAGCATCCCACGACAGCTTTTCAGTTGTGAAATACTCGCTGCTGAAGTCTGCAAGTATTTCTTGACCGGCAACTGTAACACAATCAATACATGCCATCTGTTAGGCAAAGTACAAATAAACATCCGTTATAATCAAATTTGCACAGTGACATTGAAAAGCTGAGTGCGAATGATTAGTTTGACCAATCAAATGCAGGCATTTTGTGATCAGCTGGCAAAAAATGAATTGCTATCAAAAAACCGCTAATTTAAAGGATAATCTACAGGATTTTTGTCCTCGAATTGTCTGGATGAGGTTGTTATGCAAGGCGGCAAGCCAACTGACTGTCACCTACTTCTGCAGTTCTGGTCAACCTCCTCCAGGCCTTTGTCCACGTCAAAGATATACCTGTATACAGAAGCTGGTTGTACAATATGTGTTCGGGTAACTGAAATCATTTCAGAATTTAATTATGGATGAGAAAAGAGTTGTGGGCTATGCAAGCCCGCAGAATTGATAAATAAATCTTGATCGCGGCTTACGAATATACCACAGAAACCACTTTAATCAGTCGATCCTGTGTTAGCAGCGCAGCTATAATGGAAATGACATGCCCATAATATTATAACACTGGCTTTCCCTTGTGAGGCCCTTGGATACGTGTGCACATGTATACATGCATGCTCTCACGCAGTCTGGAATGTGAGGTTGCCTACGGCTCGCCGATGCGTCGCATCATCGCGGTGAGCCATTACGCGTAGCCGTGCGCGTCGGGAATGCGAGTGCGGTGGCCACATCACAGACGCATCACACTTCAGCCAGCTCGCTGTGAACGAGGGTGTGTCGTAGACGAAGACGGGTTTATTAAGCTCATCTGACTTAGTCCAGGTGCAGCTTGTAAATCGCATGATCCATCCGGCCCGTCCGTGCGTCCGTCCGTCAACCAGTTGGGCACAATTAAACCGATCGACGTGCGGTCACGATATCGGGACGTGGGGGGGGCGTAATACCGAAAACGAGTTGGGAATGTCGAAGCTGGAGTCAAAGGTCAAAGTGTAAAAGAAGGGGAACATTCCCTCCTATAACTTAAGGTATAGGAGGAAATGCAGAATGCGGCACACAACTAAAACGGCTTGACGCTAGCGTGTGATAGTGCTGTAACTAGCATCATGGTAGGAAAAGCATCATGTGCCGAAATTGGAGTCAAGCAGGTCAAAAGTCAATGGGCACAGGGCAGATTTTAACATTTTCTGAGACAGGTCTGATGGCGATTGAAAAACTTTTTTGCTTCAGCGGTGACCTAGTCTGCTTTTAATGGGCTTTAAATTGAAGGACCATGAACTGTACTTCTGGACTAACATACGAAGAGTAAAGTGTCAGATCAACTTTGACCCTTCAAAGAGAGGAGTAAACATGGAAATTTGTTACTGTTTGTGTTAATAAAAATTTGACTGCCGGTTTGCCCTAGTAAAATCTGATACCTGCCTGGATTATGAGGCTACAATCATGTCACATGAAATTTCAAAAGCTAAATTTGTGTGATATGAAGGTTACTGCTCCTTAAATCGATAATTTTCTAATGGGCATTCTGACTGTCAGTGGTTACATGTAACGTATGCCACTGCCAGTGGTACTGTGTAGTTTTTTCCGCTGCGTTAAGTTTATTTACAGTGGCAGCTCTCCTATTTTCACCTGTGGGCTTGCATAGGTAATGATGAGTGCTTCACCTATTCTGTCTTGGCAAAACTTTGTTGCTACTACGTACGATGGGAGCTTCCATCTTTAATACTGAAAGACACTTAAACGTACGCGCCAATCTGTGGCAACTTTGCATAACGATCCCAACGATCACATTCCTTTGAGAAGGTTCCTGATAACCATCCTGTGCGCTTCACTGTTTCGGCGGATATCGTGAACGACATTTGGACTAACAGGGCTTTACCTAAATCCACCCACAATCACCACCAGCAGAGTCACCGCAGTAGACGTTGAAGACGCGTTGTCGCTCGCCGCGGCACTTTTAATGAGTGATTAACGGCAGTCTGATGAATAGGACAAAATATGGGAGACCGAATTGGCTCTGTAGAGTGACAGTTGAGACGAATGGCAATTCTGGTAATAGAAGAACAATGGGAGACAATGTCCTTCTGGTAATGAGAAGGAATGGGAGACAATGTGACTTCTGGTATAGAAAGGACATGGGAGACAAGTGGCCTTCTGGTAGTAGAAGACATGCGGAGACAATGTGCGCTTCTGGTAGTAGAAGACATGGGAGACAAATGCCCTTCTGGTAGTAGGAATGGGAGACAATGTGCCTTTCGGTAAGTAGAAGGACAGTGGAGACAATATGACCTTCTGGTAGTAGAAGGACAACGGGAGACAATGCTAGCGCTTCTGGTAGTAGAAGGACATGGAGACAATGTGCATTCTGCGTAATAATAAGAAGGACATGGAGACAATAGTACCTTCTGGTAGTACGAAAGAAATGGGACAATGTGACTTCGTGTAGTAAGACGGACATGGAAGAACATGTGCGCTTCTGCGTAAAAGTAGAGACATGGAGACAAATTGTCCTCTGGTAATTAGCAAGCACAATGGAGACAATGTGCCTTCTTGGTAAATAGAAGACATGGGAGACAAGTGGCCTTTCTGGTAATAATAGAGGACATGGAGACAATGTCGCCTTCGTGATATCAGAAGGAGCATGGAAGACAATGTTGCCTTCTGGTAAGTAGAAGGACCATGGGAGACAATGTGCTTCTGTAGTAGAAGACAGGGGAGACAATGTAGAACCTGGTAATAGAAGACATGGGAGTACAATGGTGGCTTCTGTAATTAATAGTAAGGACAGATGGAGACAAGTGACTTCTGTAATAGAAGGAACATGAGGAGACAATGTGGC